TGAGCATCTCAATCGGTCAAAATGCTCGTTAAAGCGCTCATTATGACTTCATGTGCAATGTTTAGCGTGATGCGGCGAATAAAAAATAGCACAAGTGCGAATAAAATCGCTATTAGAAGTTTATTTTTTACAATTATACCACAATTGGATTATATTGTGTTACACTTCCTGCATTACGTTGTGTTTCTTTAGATTTCGTTTTTTGTACCTGAATCTCTTGAACTTTTTATCGCTTCTCTCTTTTTCTCTCTGATGTCTAATTTTGACCTAAATCATATGCAATTACAAATATAAATTGCATAATTAACAAGTCCAATTACTGATCGTTTAGTAAAAATAATCTACATGCTGTTGGTTAAATTTTTTACAACAACACAGGGTCCTGCACGGCCAGCGTTAAGAGGAGCAACCTATAAACATAAAAATGTTTAAGTTTACAAAATACATTTACAATTATTTCTATTTACCATATTCAATTACAGGAATAGTTTATACACTCACAGGTTCCCATTCGTTGAGATGTGGATCGTAGGCTTCCACTAGTGTGAGAACTTGTTGGCCGTCGTATCCTCCCACGGCCATAAGTCGGTCACCTAATTCGCACACACCAACTGAATCCCGGGGCACACTCATTGGCGCAACCATAGTCCACGTATCAAATTTAGGATCATATCTATATTGTTACATCGCATTATATATAACTTGAAAGTTTTAACATATAATGTAACAGCAGCTTTATACCTTTCTACACAGTCCAATCTGCTAGTATTGCTAGCTGAAGCGTCGTGACCACCGACTGCATAAAGAAAACCATTCACTACTCCTACGCCTACGCCGCCTCGTCTCTTCGACATAGGTGCGCACGGTGTCCATTTGTTCGTGTGCGGATCGTAACATTCTACCGTATCTAAGCAGGAACTGAAATCTCTTCCTCCTACGGCATACAATCTAAAACATCATAAAAAATTTAATATCAACGTTATTTAAAAAAATTTAATATTTAATAAGATTTAAAGTTAATAAAATAATATTTATACGAAGACACGCACTAAAAAGGAAATTAAAGTGATTGAAAACAGATATGACGTAATAATTTATCTGTAAAGACTTACTTATCATTTAACACAGCTACACCGACTTCAGATCTTCGTACGGACATAGAACATATTGAACTCCACTGACCTGTTCCCGGATCCCATCTTTCTACCGCATTAAGATATCTGTACTCATTGTCCTCATTACACTGACGACCACCAACAGCATATAAAAGTCCACCTAAAACTGCCACTCCTAAAAAAGAATATTATAACGTATTTGCCAGGGTTTGATTATGAATAAATGAAATAAATTGCACATTAATTTTGCAAATTCTCATGCATTTGCACATACCTAATCCTTCTCGAAGACGATTCATAGGTGGTAGAGTGCTCCACGTAAGAGTGGAGAAATCGAAGCATTTTACTGTGTATGTTAATGCGCAAATCAATTTTTTATCGACTACTACTGCGCCATATTGATATTTACGGCTTATGAGTGATACAGATGACCAGCGTTTATCGCAAAATTCATCTAGAGATCGCCAAGCATTATCGTGTAATGAAAATGCATCTACAAATGGTGCATCTAGAAAGTACGTCGCAAATTATTTCGCTTGGAAAAACTGAAATAGTGCGACAATATTGGCATAATATATTTTCTTTACATTAATCGTGATCGATTAATTATCAGTTATGCGATTAATATTAAATAATTCATTTTGGATACAATAAATTACCGTTATTGTAGCCCATCCATCCGATAGCTAACAACGTACCCATAGTGGCTTTTCTGGGTTTCGTTCTGCCTGTTTGAAGCAAAGATCTTCGCTCAGGCAGCAAATGATACTTAAATGCTTCAATTACTAATTCCTGCGCCATTCTTTGGTCTTTGAACATTTCGTTACTCTCAATATTGTCAGCTATAAACTATTTTGATTTATTAGTGCTAATGCACAAGTTCTGTCGAGTGAAAAAATTGAGCTGCCGATGAACTTACCGCGGGTGATAGCAATGGTAATTTGACTAAACCTAATAATTTACTGGCATCTTTGCTCCTGTTTTCTGGATCGTGTTCCAGCCAAGTCACTAGTGCCTGAAATAATAATAAAACAATGATTCTATTTATTCTGTATCTCCAGCTTAGGTATTTTAATTGCATTTGTATGAATTGGTTCGTTCAACAAACAGTTGTCTTACATGAAAGATAGTTTCTTCCGAGGGAACATTAAGATCCTCAGACTCAAGTAACTTCGCAACTTCATTGGCAGACAGCAGTAAGAATTCTTGATTTTTTGTAACTTCCACGAAATGTTTGGTAGTGTATGTGTGTGCGTATTCAACCAATTCCGAACAATCCTTATGCCCAGTTCGCGTATCGGCGAACATCCATATGCCCAGACAGTTGCTTGGGTGAAGTTGTTTGACGAGAAACTGGCAGCACGCTTTAATAACTGGATTCAATTGTAACAAACATGCTGTTGCAAGTAGAGACTCTACGCTATCTTCCTGCAATTCTATGCAACCTGCAAGTATAAAAAAAAACATGTTATTAAGAATTGACAAATCCAAAAATCAACAAGAACGGCTTAAAAAAATATCTGCAAATGCCTTTATCGTAACGTTAATATTCGTGAAATGTTTTCTTACGTGAAACATATCTTCTCAAGCAGAATTACCTGTATAACAATAAAGAACCAAAGCCCATAAGGCATCTCCATCAACATCCATTAATTCTATTTCATTTTGTGCCGACTCTCGCAGAGAGCTTGTGAACATGGTAGCAAAATATTCAGAGCCAGCACTGAGTACTAATCGATGAGCTGGGACACGCTTATTTCCTAAAAAAGCACAGAACAGAGAAAGGAAATATGAGAAATGGAACGTCACAAGTTCATCGAGTGTGAAGAATATTTTCAATATGTTGTGTACAAAATATACTCTCTCTCTTCAATTTTTACTGGTTAAAAACTTTGAATAACAACTTTTAACAATAAAAAGAATTTCTCTTTGAATCTCTTAATTATACATAAAAATATACATAAAATTATATTAGAAAATGCACATTTTATGTAAACATATTGGTATAAAATAATAACTCTCCTCTATGGCATGCCGTTTTACTTTTTAATAGCAAACATTTTTAGTATACAAATAAAAACTAATTCTACAATTTACAATAAAGAGAAAAATGGTTTAGAAACATTATTATTATGTCTAGGCATAAAAATAATTAATTAAAATTATGTCTAGACATAATTTTAATTCGTCAAAGTAAAATTTGATAAAAATTGGATGGCACACCGTTTTACTTTTCAATAGCATAAATAATATTGTACTCAATATAAAAGTTTCAAAAAATAATTGTCTAAGAAAAATTGCGATTTTTATTAATGAATTAAAATTATGTCTAGACATAATAAAAATTGGACGAATTAAAATTATGTCTACACATAATAAAAATTCGGTATTATTTTTATGTCAAGACATAATTTTAATTTATCTAATTTTTATTATGTCTAGACATAATTTTAATTCATCCAATTAAAATTATGTCATAACATAATAAAAATTGATAAGGCGAGCCGTTTTACTTTTTAATAACATAATAAATATTCCATTCAATACAAAAGATAGAATAATAATTGTCTTAAGAAAAATCGCGATTCTTATTAATGAATTAAAATTATGTCTAGACATAATAAAAATTGGCTGAATTAAAATTATGTGTACACATAATTTTAATTCATTTTTATTATGTCTAGACATAATAAAAATGGGATGAATTAAAATTATGTGTACACATAATTTTAATTCATTTTTATTATGTCTAGACATAATTTTAATTCGTCAATTTTTATTATGTCTAGACATAATTTTAATTCATTATTGAGAATCGCAATTTTTCTGAAGACAATTATTTTTTGAAACTTTTATATTGAGTATAATTTTATTTATGCTATTAAAAAGTAAAACGGCATGCCATACTCCTCGTTCTTATTAATTAAAACATTTGATTAACCATTATCCATCTGAATCATTACAAATCCAATTAACAGTTAACACATAGGTGCGTTATCAAAACAAAAAGTTACAAAAACATACACTCACCCGCGATCAGCGTGACGTCTGTCAGCTGTTGCTTGTGCAGATAACTCTCCATAATTTGGAGGCTATTTTCCGCGTGCTTCGGCGAGATGGACACGCGTGACATTGTGGGGTAATTATTTAGAATACGTGCCTACACCTCGAATATCAATAAAATTATGCTTATTCGACGAGTTTTGACACGAAACGAAAGAATCTGGCAGAAAAATGCGGCGGTCTGCCCTGCGAAGCGAGATATTTAGCGTTAAAGTTGA